TTTTTCATGTGGGTTGTTGTATATGTAGAAAGGCACGTGTACAATTAATGAGGCACAATTAATTTTATAGTACAATTTGAAATGCTTTGTGTACAACATGGTAGTGCCGTGTTCGTGCTTTAAAGTGTCAACTCTAATAAGGAGCCAAATGAGTAATAATAATAATTCTAATAAGGAGTAATGAGTAATAATAATAATTCTATAAGGAGTAATGAGTAATAATAATAATTCTATAAGGAGTAATGAGTAATAATAATAATTCTATAAGGAGTAATGAGTAATAATAATAATTCTATAAGGAGTAATGAGTAATAATAATAATTCTATAAGGAGTAATGAGTAATAATAATAATTCTATAAGGAGTAATGAGTAATAATAATAATTCTATAAGGAGTAATGAGTAATAATAATAATTGCAATGTTAGTCCTTGGTGTTAGTCATTCTATTAATGTACAATTCTTTTTGCACGTTGTACAACTAATTAATGCAGTCAAAAGTTAATGTACAAAATTGTATGCATGTTGTACAAGAGTATTAATGCAGTGTTGGTGCTTTCCAACTCTCACTTCTAAATAAGAGTAAAACTAGGACTCAGCTTTTTTGAATTTTCTTTGCATCTCTTTTTAAAAAAAAGAAGCAAATGAGTACTCCATACGTCTCAATTTTAAGTGTCTTTTTAGTCAAAAATACAATAAAATGTTTAAGATAAAATATTTTTTATCTTAAAAAATCAAGAAATAATTGATTGCTTTTTTCCATTCAATTTCACCGTTGCTATTAAAGGGGTGAAAAGTAATAAGTATTTACTCATTTGTCAGTTGTAACGCTTGATAAATAAAGCCAATTCTTGATAAATAACGCCTTCTACTAATTTTTTTTGGAAATGAATGTGTAATTAAAACCTTAAGGGGTCGTTTGGTTGGTGTGATGGAACATACAAGTATATGGTATGGGATTATAGCTAATTCCATCATTTTAGTATAAATAGTGAGATAAAATAGTATCAGGTCTAATTAATACTCACAATCAATTACGAAAAAAATTATCTCAAATTTTATCCTAAGATTATTATCCTTATCTCACCAATCAAACGACCCTAAAAAGACTCTTAAAATTGAATGGAGGGCATAGTAAATTATGACTCCCCAAAACTACTATAAGATTTATGTGCATGTGCAATTACAATAAAGAATCACTGCCTATGTCATTGGATACTCTGCAGCATTTTAAATAACGTAGTTAGCATTTTTCAAGAAAGTCAATTAAACTTAAAATTGTTTTGCTCCAGAGTTGTAAGTTCCTAATTGGCCAATTTATTTTAAAGATGTCAGTTGGACTATAAGATTAAATATCAATTAAGTAGACTTTCATATTAAATTAAACATTTCATAAAAAGTCAGTTCTGTTCTAAGCTTGACATTATCTACATAATCAACTGAAACCTTATAAGTCAGTCAAATAAACAGAAATAAGATTTGGAAGAGAAAATGTCATCACTCTAAATCACAGTACCAACTTTTATTTATTTTTTATTTATATATAATATAATAGAAAAGAAATATTTTTCCAAAGTAAACTAGATAATTCAAATATTAGTTACAAACTGTTGCTGTTTTAGTCTTAACTTCCAAATTAGATAATTAGGGAAAGTGTTATTGAAGTCTAGTGCAAATAAAGTTGAATCTTTTACCCAAATGATGGTAAAGATAACAACTTTATATTGAGACACTGTTTGGTATTCCTTTTCCAGTAAGTCCTGGTTCACTTATAGGATAAAGCAATGTATATGGCATCTTAATAGGCCCCATTCTGTTCTTCCATTTCTTGTCATTGTTCATCTTTATAATTTTTTCTTCAATTTCAGTTAGCTTCTTTCCAAATCTTTCTAAAGCTTGTAATGGCTCTTTGTCATTAGTCCATTTAGGAGTGTCTCTTTGCCCAAGGTAGATTTCATCTGAAGAATGTGTTGACAAAATCTCTATAGCAGAAATTCCAATGAGAGTCTGAAGTTGTGGTGTAATTGTACTCAGATATCCTTTTTCAGGGTTCGTCTTCAGCTCTTCATACTCGGGACTGCCTGGTTCAGGCATGAGCTTTCGGCTCATTGAGGGGCGGTTTGGTAGGTAGCCACCATAAGGATACTGCCCAAAATTGATGGCTGCATGAAGAGCAGAAGCAATCCAGATAATTATGGTGCATGAGTCAGTCAGTTCTTTAAGGGTCTGCATTTTAGGCCACCATGGCTCGTCTTTCTTGTCACCGTGTCCCTCTTCTTGGAGTTCCTTCCACCAGGCCTGAAGTTCAGTGTCCTTCTGAATCATGTCATCTGTTTTGTAATAGATGGTGCAATACTCCTGAACCCAACTTTTGATAGCTGACCATATTTCTAGCCCATCCACAGCATACGGATAGTCCTGGATTAGAAGACGGATGCCTTTTTCTGATTCAGGATCCTCAATTGCCACACCTCTACAGCATAATACAAATCAATAATGCATTTCAAGGAGCTTTTTTCCTTTGTGTACTTATCAAATCCTTTAAGTAAATTGCGTGGATTAAGTAGTGAATTACCTCTTGATAAGATCAGCAGGAAGGGCCTGCTCAGGAAAAACCCAATCCTTGTAAGCTGCTGAGGTCATCTCCATGGCATATTTTGTAGGGAAAACTGTTTGCTCAAGAATTCCTCCAGCATTAAGCAGAGTCTGTCTAGCTAAGGCATTTATGTGCATTGTATCACGAAAGTGAGGATGCAAAAGCTTGTACATAGGATGAAACACACTTAGTTGTCTGTTTGTCGCGATCACAATTGGCTCTATTGTGGCATGAGTGTGTAACCTGAGAAAAATGAGAGAGAGATAGTCAAAGAGGTTCTTGGAAAGAAAACAAAGTAAATTGATGATCATTGGCCATAATAAAAAGCATTTTCCAGTTTAAGCACCAGTGGCTGATTAGCTGATGAACTCCAGAGTCATTGACTGCGACATAAGCTTTTGCCAATTGCCATATCGAAGCCTCAGTGCCATATTCCTGTGGTGTAAAAACTTTGCTAATGAAACCATGCTGATCTCCATCAGGATGAGGCAAGCTTAGTTCAATGCCTAGCAGCTTCAAAGTCCCATCTTTTTGTAGAAAGAGGAGAGTTCTTGAGGCATATATTTTTGTACTTGTCATATTGATCTGCCTCATATATGGCATGAATGTGTCATGATGATTCAATATGAAAAGCTGATTCGCCTTGATCGCCTAATAAGGTAAGTATTTATCAGATACAGGCCCAATTTAGTTAAACAGGCAATCAGAAGTACTATAAAATCAATTCATAGAACCTCTTCTATAGTGAGTCCATCCAACTGATTTTGAATATGTTCTCTGGTTATATTGCTAGTTTGGTCACCATATACTTTGGGGTCCAGCTTACTAGTCGGAGGAAACTCCTGCAGAAAAAGAGTTTCAGCTCATAATCTTTCAACTAAAGAATAAGTAACTTTAGATTCATTCACATGACGATAGAGATAATATGAATTTCGTTAAAAAGTTAGAGACAAGATTAGAAATTCTAGAGGAGGAAAAGATAATATTAGTTTACTTTAAGGCCACAAATGCAGACAGGGTTTATTCCAGCAAGCATCTCTCTTGCAAATTCCTCATCGGTTCTCCAAGCTGACTTATCCTCTGTTGCAACCATGTAAGACTATGAGAAAGCACAAAGCAAAAAGGAAGGAAATATTCCCTTTGGGGATTGACTTACTGTTACTCTTTAATCCAAAAGTACCTTTTATAACCTGTGGCATTGGATACTTAAGAAACTCCTGACCAGAACTTTGAATAAATTCCTTGATCATCTCTGTACTACTTCTCTGCAAAACATCTTCAGGAAGATTGATTCCTCCTCCATAAATTTTTAAAATATCTTCAAAGCTGTTGAACTCATTGAGGTTGATGTTTCCTAAAGACTCAAGCTCGGGGACAAGGAGCTGAACGATGACCTTAAGTGCTATACGAATAAAGTCTGTCATCTTTAAGGGTGCAAATTTTTCATCCCTTGGAACATAAATGCCAAAACTCATTAGCAGTGGGAGCCGACTCTCAGAATTAGGATCTGCTCAAAATTTGAGGAAATCAGACATACTGAAAAATGGCATGCCTTATAGTAAAGATCAGTGTGATGCAGAAATGAGTTACCTGTTTTTGTTGGTGGTCTGCTGGTTCTTCCTCTACGCGGATAAGGATACTTTGTAGATCCTCCTAGGATTGGCCTGACATAAGTTGAACCCTTTTCAGGATCTCCAAGGTCATTGTAATAAGCATAGTCGTAAACCCTGTCCCACTCCTCTAGCTTTCCAATCCCATTTCCTCTCAAGTTCAACAATTCCTCTTCCCTATACCAGCGCAATTTTACAGGAGTTTCACTTGGAAGCCAAGCCTACATCAAGTAAACAAAGTGCTCTATCATAAACTGCATAGGCGTATGGATATACATATTATTTGAAAATCAAAGTGCTCACCTGATTCACAAAGAATATGCGGTCCGATTTGTACTTTTCAGCTGGATAAACCCAAGAATTGCAGACAAAATGCATGCCACCATGACTTGGATCATCAACTTCAACTTCAAGAGTCAGTTTCTTGAGAAAGAACTCACTAGGATTAAAGTTCTTGATGATGAATGCTCCCGGAGCTCCAAACTCTTCGTCCAAATCAAATGTGACACTGAACTTTGATTCATTACCTACCTTACTCTCATCTCTCAAGTGTGTTGGATTCCCAAGTTTCCCTTTATTTTCTTTCCGTTCAAGAATAAAATCATGACTTAAAAATTCCCCATTATTCAAGAGTTAAAAATTCATATATAATGCAAGACCAATAGGATGGCCACAATATTACTATTATATATAAAATTTTACAAAGGGACAAAAACTACATCATTACTACAACAACAATCATCACTGACCATGTCGAAACATTTAAGCTCATCTTAGACCACTATCTTACACAATAAAAAAAAAGTACAAAAACGTTCACTATATTTTCTACTGACAAAAGGATAACCACAGCGAAGAATAAGGAAATTTTGAAAAATGGAAAAAGTAATCACCTGAATCTCCATTAACAGAAGAGATAAGCTGCAGTATAACCTTGTCTCCAAGAATCTCATAAGTTTGCTGTTGAACCACTTCCGATGGAACAAGCTCTAAAGCTCTCTTTTTCACAAGGACAACAGTGCCATTGATCTTTTTGCTTTCAAGTTTACTAGTTGATGCCATTAAAGATGACTACTGTAGGGTCTTTGTGGTGTTTAGGCCAAATGAAAGAAACTATGAATTTATAGGCAAAGGACATGGTTGTGTTATGATCAAGATACTTATTTATTTTTTATATTTATCAACAAATGCTAGTGAAAGATAATGCACTCTTGGATGGAATTTTACTTAAATAACTAAAGTGCTAGGTGATCAAGTAAATTTATAAAGATTCCTTGCAGCTATTCCTGATCACTTGGTAATCCTAAAATTATCACCATGTCATGGTGGTTTCAGTGGCTAGTTTGCACGGACCTCGACTATTCCACAAGCTACCTATTATTTCCTACTAGCACACAAGTACGGATTTGCCAATAATGAGACGACTAGGAAAATATCACACAGATTTTTTGGTTTCTGCTGGAATTTGACCCCTTCGCCTTGTATATTTTCATGGATAATAATTTTTTTTTGGTGTACAACATAGCAATGACAAAGTTGTTTCTTCAAAAGGGCCTAAGAAATAGAAGTCTTTGTCCCATAGAAGCAAGGCAAATAAGTGCAAATGTACAAAAAAATACAGCCAAAATTCCATTTACACAAGTAGGTGCTCTTTCAGGTATTTCCAACTCCTGAGAAAATGACAATTTTCTGCTTTCATTGTGTAAAAGGAACCTTAGAATACTGGAACCATTTCTTAAAGTTCCTTCTAATACTATTTTCATTATTATGCTACTAAATAGAGTTAACATCACCATTTGTCAAGAATCCAAAAGTATGAAAATTTGTCCCTCTTTTGGCTCTTTTTACTTCTTAAGACATTATAGCAATTTATTAAGTTGAAAATACATCTGTCAAGTTTTCAATAAACTGCAACTTCTGTAACTTTCACAGTGTAATAAGGATCATATATAAATTTTCTTGTTATTAAATAACAGAAGAAGATGAAGAAAACAAACCAATAATTGCTCATTAAATTAGTGAAATATATTGAGTTGCATTGGTTCTTTTGACAATGACATTCAATAAACATCCTCTACTGCTTTCGAATAAATAATGTTTCAGTGCGACACACAACGACCATAATCAGATTTCTGATACATATATTCTTTCTAGTAGTAAAAAGTTCATCCCCAAAAGAAATAACAAGAAAAAGGAGGTTCATTAGTATTGTTGCAGGTGTTATGGATGTATCATATAGTACTCTATTGGTTGACCTCCTTATTATGAAACATCACAAGCTAGAACTGAGATCTCGTAGACACAAATACATTACTATTTACTTATGCGGTTTAAGTAATAATCAAAACAAACAATATATTTAAATAACAATACAATACAAACTGTTATAGAATAGAAGAGCTTACAACATAACATCCCTTATTGTAACTGGAATTTCTGAAAATACAGACTTTATTTGGTATTTATATATTTATACTGTTGGGAATTCCTTTGCCTGTAAGTCCCTCTTCACTTGTGGGGAAGAGCAAAGTATATGGAACTTTAGCAGGTCCTGACCTGTTCTTCCATTTCTGATGATCACTATTCATCTGCATAATTTGATCCTCAATATCACTCAGCTTCTTTCCAACCCTCTCAAAAGCTAAAATTGGTTCTTGATCCTTTGTCCATTCAGGTGAGTCCCTCTGCCCGAGGTAAAGTGTATCCGAAGCATGCGTTGACAAGACCTCTAAGACGGAAATTTCAAGCAGTGTCTGCAGAGGAGGAACGGTTGTTTTGAGGAATACCTTGTCTGGATTTTTCTTGAGCTCTTCATATTCAGGACTTCCTGGTTCTGGCATGAACATTCGACTTAAACTAGGGCGATTAACGAGGTAACCAGCATAAGGGTATTGCCCAAAATTGACTGCTGCATGAAGTGCTGAAGCTATCCATATTGTGATGGTGCAAGATTCTATGAGCTCTTGTCGAGTTTGCATTTTAGGCCACCAAGGCTCATCTTTCTTGTCACCATGTCCTTCTTCGCGGAGTTCCTTCCACCAAGCCTGGAGTTCACTGTCTTTCTGTACCGTGTCATCTGATTTGTAATAGAAGTTGCAGTATTCTGTTACCCAACTTTTGATTGCTGACCAGACTTTTAACCCATCAACAGCATATGGATAGTCCTGAATTAGTAAGTGAATGCCATGTGGGGAGTTCAAGTCCTCAACAGCCACTCCCCTGAAAGTGAGTAAAGTTATGGTCAGGTTATCAAGAAAGCTACACCAAAAATATTGTTTTGGTGAATTCATATACTGATGATTGACTATAAAGTTTACAACTACTTTGTGTCTTTTCATTTACCTTTTGATGAGATCAGCAGGAAGTGCTTGTTCAGGGAAAATCCAGTCTTTGTAAACTACTGCTGACATTTCCATGGAATATTTGGAAGGGAAAAAAGTCAACTCAATAACTCCGTCACTATTGATCAAGAGTTGTCTTGCTAAAGCATTTATGTTCATCGTGTCACGAAAATGAGGAAGGAGAAGCTTATGAATGGGATGAAGCACACTTAGTTGCCTATTTGTTGCAATCACAAATGGCTCGATCACCGCATGTGTATTCAACCTGAGAGGGTAATAATAAGTGTTCGATTAATTTTACTCAATCATAAATTGAATTTGGTTATGAGTAAGTTGTGTTTCATATAAAGTTTTTGACAGGTTTTACCAGTGACTGACGAGCTCATGAATGCCCGAGTCATTCACTACTGCATAGGCTTTGGCCAACTGCCAGATGGAGCTTTCAACACCTTGATCAGATGGTGTGTACACTTTGCTAACAGTACCAAATTGATCTCCGTCTGGATGTGGCAAACTTAGTTCAATTGCCAGAGGCTTCAAAGTTCCATTATCTTGCAAGAAAAGCAGAGTTCTTGAGGCATAAGTTTTTGTGTTTGTCGTCGCGTTAATTCTCCTCAAGTATGGCATAACGATGTCATGATGGTTCAATATGAATAGCATGTTAGCCTTGATTGCCTGCTAAATAGTACCAACTCTTTATCAACTAATATTTGTCAGTACAAGCTTCTCACTAAAGTTGATTGAAGAATTTAGACAGTATCAACATAAAAGTAGTAATTACCTCATCAACTGTTAGTCCATCCAACTTATCCCCTATCTGCTCTCTGGTAATTGTACTGTTTTGGTTGCCATATATTTTAGGATCCAGATTGCTTTTCGGAGGAAATTCCTACAGATATTAGATAAGCCAGCATCTTCAAAATGTGTAAGAGATAATCACGAAAATAGAAGTAGCAAGATCTTGATATCCTCAAAGAGTAGCAATTCAGATGAGTGAAAGTTTACTTGGAGTCTACTAATTAAGACGGGATTGATTCCCGCCAACATTTCTCTACCAAATTCTTCATCCGTCCTCCATGCAGTTTTATCCTCTAAATACACCAATAATATTTAGATTACCAAAGGTGAGGGGGTGAAAAATAATACTTTTGATCATGCAGAAATTTAGATAAATACCTTGAATAACTTGAGGAGTTGGGAACTTGAATAAGCCTTCACCATCAGAATGAAAGACATCTTTTAGAATCTCCAAAGGAATACTATCAATAAGGGCTTTCAACAAAGGGCCTTGAGGCAACTTGATTCCTCCTTCATAGAGTTCAAGTACATCCTCAAAGCTATCAAACTCATTCGGTGTGTTATCGAACAAAGCCTTAAAAGCAGGGAAAAGTGACTGCACAGTGAATTTTAAGGAAAATGTCAAGAAGTCTGACATCTTCAGATGACCAAACCGCTCATCCCTTGGCACATATATGTCTAAGCTCATAAGCAATGGAATCCTGTTCTCGGAATTAGGATCTGCAAGCAATTGTCAAGACAATTTGCTCTTCAAAGAAATCAAATACATGAAAATGCAGATAGTAAAAAAGTTTTGCGAGTGTTTTAACCTGTTTTTGTTGGTTTACGGCCTGTCCTGCCTCTACGAGGATACGGATACTCAGAGGACCCTCCAAGTATAGGCCTAGCATACTCTTCGCCTTTATCTGGATCACCTAAGTCGTTGTAATAAGCATAGTCATAAACTCTGTCCCATTCTTCAAGCTTTCCAGTACCATCTCCTCTCAAAGTTACTAGCTCATTTTCTCTGTACTTTCGCAACGGTTCTGGTGTTTCACTTGGGAGATAAGCCTGAAGAACATACCATAATTATGACAATACAAATATGTGTTTAGACACATACATTCTTTATGAAGGAATTAAATGTACCTGATTTGCAAAGAAAATGCGGTCAGACTTGTATCTAAAAGCAGGATAAACCCAAGAATTGCAGACAAAATGGATATTTCCACGATTAGGAACATCTTCGAGTGTGAGTGACTTGAGGAAGAACTCATTAAGATGAAAATTGTTGATGATGAATGCTCCTGGAACTCCAAACTCTTTGTGATCCCAATCAAATGTAACACTAAAAGTTGATTCCCCTGCTATTATAGGGGTGATGTGTGTAAGCCAATCCTCTAAGTATGCTGGATTGCTGCGTTTCCCTTCAACACCATTTTCTGCAAATGAAACAACGTCTTATATTTTAGGGTTCATTAGGGAAGAAAGAAAGACATGACTAATCATATATCATATTATTCATATCATATAAAGAAACCTTACACCCGCCTACGTGGCACCACCACAAATTAAGATTCCCTTTTAATTTATTTTATTTCCAAAACTAGTTTTCCCCTTTAATGAAAAGTTGTGATTTTTATGAAAAGTTACGATATTTACGAAGAGTTGTGACTTTTATGAAAAGTTACGACATTTACAAAGAGTTGTGACTTTTATGAAAGGTTGTGACTTTTCCGAAGGGTTGCAACTTTTCCAAATAGTTGTGACCTCTCCGATAAGACACAATAAGCATTTGTTCAAACTACCATTTATTGTCTATAAATAGAGGAATTTCCTCTCATTTTAAAAAGACGAAAATTTTGAACTTCTTCTTCTTCTAGACAATTAAATATTTGTGTATTTTACTCCTGTTTAATGACTCACTGACACCATTGTTTTTGTATCAATACACTGATGAATTGAATCGTTCTATCCTGAGAGGACCTATTCCTTTAAACCTCGGTGACTAGAGAGGAATAATTTCCTTAAGGGGACACTGTGCATTAAGTGAGCTCGATTTTTTTCATTTTGTTTCATTCTATTGTTACATATCCTGATATGTTTTTTACAGCATTAATTTATGCTTATATTATTAATTGTTATTTTTGAGTACATGTTTTAAACTTTGTTGTTTATGTTTCTGCAATGTCATTCCTTCACATACAAGGATGAGATTTTGTGTTCTTTAGAAAATCCTTTGTGAGTTAATAACTTTGCATCCTCATATTTTTTTTGTAAATGTTGTTGTTCTATTTTTACTAAATTTTATCAGTGGATATTATGAGTACTTTAAGGATTGAAAGTTGATTGAATTAGTCAATTTTTTAGGTATGTTATTTCAAAACATAGAAACTTTTCTGGTTAGAATGATTTGTATCATCATTGGATATCTCATAGTTTACTCCCTTTAATGTATGTTTTTTCTCGTTGTTTTGTTGTCTCCTTAAAATTGTATTGATTATTTTTCATTTGGTATGTATTTGATCTCACTTGGACAAAGTTTTCATCCTTTTAATGTTTTTCTTTTTTTCCTTCTCATTCGGCTCTTCTAAATATTTTTTGTGTGAGTTATGACTATTTTCGGCAAGCTTAATTTGAAGAATATGAAACAAAACATGCTCTAAAGAAAAGTAATATCTTAAGCTATAAAAGATATGTCTATTAACATAGATTTGTTGTCTTTCATGTCCCAAGTCATTGCTGAGCGTTTGAGTTATCTAGGTTAGACTTTTTTTTTTAATGTTTGAGAATATTTCTTTAACATGAGTCTAGAATCCAACATTTTGATCTACTTGTACTTTCATAATGTAAAAATTATACGTACATATTTCTGAAAAAGTCATAAAGTTGCACTGATTAAGAATCTAGAAGGGCCTTCAAAGCAGCAGTTTAATGAAGAATGAATTTCTAAAAGGGTCAACAATATTGTTTTGCTGTCGTTTCAAATTTATTTTTCTCCTTCTATAAATTTTGTTAGAGTAACAAAGTAACAATAACGAAAAGTGGTGAACGTTTGACCTCAGACAAGTAGATTGTCTCTAACAAAATTTATTTATGTTGTTGTGGTGTACATTTTTAACGGTCTTAACTTATTTATAACTAATATTAAATATCGAAAACTTTCACATAATTTTTTTCCCACAAGTAGTTATTCTAATCATAAAATTATCAGATTTTATATTTTTCATGTACAAAAAAATAGAAAAAGTGATGTTTTATCGCTACATAAAAACATCACTCAATTTTAACAAGACAATTATATCATCAAACATATATTATGATAAATTATGTTAAAGATAAAAATGATTAGATATCAAGATATTTTTAATCATTCATTATATATTTACAATTCATGAGATATGTGATAATGTCAAATCATTTAATTTTTGTTGAAATGTTCTTAAAACCTACTAAAATTTACTTTTTTTCCTTATAACAATCGATTATTGGAAAGGTTTTTCAAAAGCTTAGAAAGATAATCTATGTCCGCGCGAAGCACGGGTTTATTACCTAGTAAGGGATAAGAGGAGATAACCCGTATTAACTTTTTTTATTTAATCTGAGATTTAAATTTTAAAATTAATAAAAAAAATGGTTTAATTTTAATTTTAAATTTGAAGTAAATAATAATTTTAAAAAATCAAACCAAACTGGTTATATAAATATTTATCTAAAAATTATAATTATATATATATATACACACGAAGATTTTCCACTCTTGATTTTGTGTAGGTGTTTGTTTTTGGGCAAATTACAGAAATCAAATACTTTTAAGGCAAAATTACAATTTATCCCTTAAAAGTTTATAATTACAGAAATCCCTCAAACGGATATAATAATATAAGCATTGATACATTAATCTGATGCGCGAGATACAATAATATAAGCGCTGATACATGCGTGAGATACAATAATATAAGACGCTGATACATGCGTGAGATACAATAATATAAGACGCTGATACATGCGTGAGATACAATAATATAAGACGCTGATACATGCGTGAGATACAATAATATAAGCGATGATACATTAATTTGATGCGCGAGATACAATAATATAAGCGTTAATACATTAATCTGATGCGCGAGATACAAATAATATAAGCGTTGATACACTAATCTAATGCGCAAAAATGAGGGATTTTGGAGATTTGTAAAACTTATAGGGGATAATGGTAATAAGTAAACAAAAAGGTGGGATTTCTGTAATTTTTCCTATTTTTATAGTAACTCAATTCTTGGCTTTACTTTCTAGTTTAGTTTGTAGCCTTTATTTTGAAAATTAAGTTCCAAGATCTATTTTCATATTAAAAATAATTTGTCTTTAATTATTTAATTAATTTGTTATATTATTCATCATTATAATTGACGGGGTGGTGTTACGATGGAATGTAACCACTCTAATATGTACTTGAACTAGTATATTGTGACCTTTTTTTTGTTTTCAAAAAATGAATAGATCAAAAACCAAAAAAAAAGAAAAAACAAAGGATGAATTTCCAACTTAATTAGTTTGATTTGATTTTAATATGTAAAACAGCATACTTAATTTATTTATTTATTTTTGTTAAAAAGAAGGATAAACAATTGAGCATATTTACTTACCAGGATCATCATGAATAGAACCACTTATCAACTGGATAGAGACTTTTTCACCAAGAAAATCAACAACCTCATCACCAACTGAAGCATTTATGTCAGTGAAGTCCAAAAAAATCTTTTTCATCAAAATAATTCTTCCTTTCACATTTTTTCCATCAGTGTTTCCAATGATGGCATCCACAATTTCGCCCAAAGACATAGTTAACTATTTGAACAGAAATATTATGATTTTCTTGATCTACAAAGAGAAGAAAAGAGAGTTATTTATATTTAAAAAATTACTAGTTTCTGAAGCTCTCGCTATTTTTGATAAAAAATTTAATTTAATTTTTTACTATGTTTGATAAATATAGTGTATAAATTTGTCTGATTAATTAATTGAAAGATGATGACATTGAATAAAAGCACACAAAAAGAACCCAAAGCATCCAAAATATGGAAGTTTAGCTCTTAAGCTTTTAACCAACTTTGTAAATTTTCAAGTTCATTAAGGAACTCCAGAATGAAATCAAATTAAAGGTAGACAGTAACACCTTGGACTTCGAAAGAACTACATAGAGGTTCGTACAAGTTACCCATCAGTTTTTAGTTTTGGGTCAACTTCAAATGACCATATCTTTTAACACATGAATTTGATGCTTGGATTCAAGGAAGAGACAAAGTCTATTTTTTATATAATATTGTATATGAGCGTATAAATACTCTTATAATTTTGTATAAAATGTATATTGGATGTATAATATTGTATATCAAAATTTTAAACATTTTTGTCTAAAATAAAATATGAAAAAATTGTATATTATTGTTTACTAGATGTATACTATTGGATACCGGATTATGTTTTGGCTAAAAAATAGTAATGTAAGTTTTTAGCTATATTTTTACAATTTAAGTTAAGTAATTGTATATTTGTGAAAAAAAATCAATAAAATATTTGTTATTACTTCTTGAAGATTTCCTAGTTCATTAAGAAACTCTTACATGAAATCAAACTAAAAGTCGATGTCTTTTGTTTATTGGATTAAAAAAAATTGGCCTTTTATAATATTCAATTCAAGACTCTTTCACATTTAAACTAAGGTGTGAATTTCGTATAGAAATAGTATAATTATCTTAATTTTTTTGGACTCTTGTTTATAATTTTGTCTCTTTATAATATCAAATTTGATTTAGGACTCTCTAACATTTAAATTATGACGTGAATTTCGTATACAGATAGTGTAATTTTCTTAACTATTTGAACAAAATTATTATAATTTTCTTGATCTACCTAGAGACGAAAGAGAAATTTTGGTTGTGATGTTTTTGAGTTTGAATATCTCATATTTATAATAATAATTACTAGTTTCAGAAACTTTCGCTATCTTTGATAAAAAAATTAATTTAATTTTTTTCCTATGTTTGATAAATATAGCGTATAAATTGATGACATTGAATAAAAACAAACAAAAAGAACCCAAAGCCTCCAAATATGGAAGTTTAGCCCTTAAACTTTTACGCCAGTTATTTACTCCATTACATAATACTATTCATAGTGTCCAATTCATTGTAAAACTCTTTAACATATAAATTAAGATATAGAGATAAGATAATTTTCTTAATTTTATTTCTTGAGATTTCTATTTATTTTAGTAATTTTTAAAATTTAATTTAATTTTATAATGATATTGTTAGAATCAATTTGTGCGCGATTTGCACGCGCCTTAATTTGTAATTTAATTTTATCATGTTCACGAGAATAATAAGCATTTGAATAGATAATATTTTAAAATTGGAATAGGTACTAATTATATAGCAGTGTTTCCCTTATTAAAAATGTTGATTTTACTTGTATTGTTAGTAATGGAGGCATTATTCACCCATTGAATTTAGCTTTTACTTGTAAAGTGAGATTTTTTGAAATTATAAATGTTTTTTTTTTTTTTGCTTATAATAAAATGTGTGTGATTACGTCTTAAAGATTCTCTAGTCCATTGAGGAACTCTAGAATGACATCAAAATAAAGTTTTGTATCTATTGTTTATTAGATTAAGAAATTTTGATTATGTATTGTATTGAAAATGTTGATTTTACTGGTATTGTTAGTAGTAAAGGCATAATTCGCCCTTTGAATTATTATTTTTACTTGTAAAGTTAGATTTTTCTATTATAAATATTAATTTTATTTATTTTGCTAATAAAAAAAGAGATAATTATTTAAAAGTATAATTGATACATGTATTTTGTCAAAATAGACCAAAGTTTTAAACTTTGTCAATTTTAGCAATTAACCTATTGATATCACTCTTTCCTTTTTCTTCCCTACACACCCAAAACATGCTATATCTCTGTCTCCTCCCACACTCTATTTTCTATCATTTTTCAATTTTTATATGTGATTTTATTATTACATTAATTTAGTGATGGTTAAGTTGTTGGCGGTTTCTCTGATAAAGGTGGTTGTTGCAGCGATATTGATAGTGATAATTAACTAAGTTAGAGTATTTGTTTTGCTTGTTCGAAATGAAACGAATGGCCTCATTGGTATATAGAGTTGATTGATTGGTAATGGCCCATGCTTTAGGAGAAATTTACATATCAAGCCATTATTTTCTCTTCATTATCGTAGTTACTGTGAGACACTATGGACAACCCATTGAAATTATAGGTTAACCATTATTAAAGCTCGAAATTTCAAAAATTCGATTTCCGCAAATAAGCTCCTTTGGAATGGGTATTGTCGCAAAAGATCAATTAAAAATTAAAGATCCTAAACAAGGATTTTTTGATGATTTAGTGTAGTTTTTGTCTTTTGAGGTGTTTTTTTGGATGAATTTATTGCTTGGATTCAAGGAAGAGACGAAGGTCGTTTTTTACGTAATATTGTATATTATTGTATATGAGTGTATAAATACTCTCATAATTTCATGTAATAGGTATATTGGATGTATAATATTGTATATCAAAATTTTAAACATTTTTGTATAAAATAAAATATGAGAAATATGTATATTATTGTATAGTAGATCTATAATATTGGATACCGAATTGTGTTTTGGTTAAAAATTCGTGATGTAAGTTTTGAGCTATATTTTTTTAAAATAAGTTAGGTAATTGTATATTTGTGGAAAAATTTCAATAAAATGTGTTATTACATCTTGAAGATTTCCTAGTTCATTAAGAAATTCTTACATGCAATCAAATTAAAAGTCTGTCTTTTGTTTATTGGATTAAGAAATTTTGGCTTTTTTAATATTGAATTTAATTTAAGACTCTCTTAAATTTAAATTATGATATAAATTTCGTCTAGAGATAGTGTAATTTTCTTATTTTTTTTCAGACTCTTGTTTATAATTTTGGCTCTTTATAATATCAAATTTAATTTACAATTCTCTAACATTTAAATTATGATGTGAATTTCATATAGAGATGTGTAATTTTCTTAACTATTTGAACAAAAATATAATATTTTTCTTGATCTACCAAGAGAAGAAAGGAGAGATTTTGGTTGTGAAGTTCTCAAGTTTGAATATCTCATATTTATATTAAAAATACTAGTTTCAGAAACTCTCGCTATCTTTGATAAAAATTTTAATTTAATTTTTCCCTATGTTTTATAAATATAGCTTCTAAATTGATGACATTGAATAAAAGAAAAAGAAAAAAGAACCCAAAGCATCCAAAATATGGAAGTTTAGCCCTTAAACTTTTACGTCAGTTATTTATTACATAATGAAATGTTACTCTGCATAGTGTCCAATTCATTTTAAAACATTTTAACATATAAATTAAGATATAGAGATAAGATAATTTTCTTAATTTTATTTCTTGAGATTTCTGTTTATTTATTTTTATATTTATTTTAATAATTTTTAAAATTTAATTTAATTTTATAATGATATTATTAGAATCAATTTGTGGACGATTTGCGCGCACCTGAATTTGTAATTTAATTTTATCATGTTCGCGAGAATAATAAGCATTTGAATAGATAATATTTTAAAATTAGAAAAGGTACTAATTATATAGCAGTATTCCCCAACAAAAAAAATATTTTAATTTGTATAATATTTGCCAGCTAGAAGGGTGTGCTTCCCTTATTAATTTTGATTGAATATTGTGTTGAAAATGTTGATTTTACTTGTATTATTAGTAGTAGAGGCATAATTCGTCCTTTGAATTATTATTTTTACTTTTAATGTTAGATTTTTCTATTAAAAAAATTATTTTTATTTATTTTACTAATAAAAATAGAGACAATTATTTAAAAGTATAATTGATTCAAGCATTTTGTCAAAATAGACCAAACATATAAACTTTGCCAAATTTAGCAATTGACCTATTGATATCACTCTTTCCTTTTTCTTTCCTACACACCCAAAACATGCCCTATCTCTATCTCCTCCCACACTCCATTTTCTATCATTTTTCATTTTTTATATGTGATTTTACTATTATATAAATTTAGTGATGGTTAAGTTGTTGGCGGTTTCTCCGATAAAGGTGATTATTGCAGCGATATTGATGGTGGTAATTAACTAAGTTATTTATTTTGCTTGTTCGAAATGAATGGTCTCATTTGTATATAGAGTTGATTGATTGGTAATGGCCCATGCTATAGGAGAAATTTATACATCAAGTCGTTGTTTTATCTTCATTATTGTAGTTACTATGAGACACTGGTCTATGGACATTCCATTGAAATTATTGACAATCATTGTTGAAGCTCGAAATTTGAAAAATAGATTTCTGCAAATAAGCTTTGTTTCGAGTGGGTATTGTCGCAAAAGATCAGTTAAAAATTAAGGAGCCTAAATACGGATTTTTGATGATTTAGTGTAGTTTTTGTCTTTTTGAGGTGTTTTTTATTGGATGAATTTGATGCTTGGATTCAAGGAAGAGACGGAGATCGTTTTTCACATAATATTGTGTATTATTGTATATGAGTGTATAAATACTCTTATAATTTCGTATAATATTTATATTGGATATATAATAATGTATATAAAAAATTTAAACATTTTTGTACAAAATAAAATATGAGAAATTTTGTATATTATTGTATACTAGAGGTATAATATTGGATACCGAATTGTGTTTTGGTTAAAAATTCGTATGTAAATTTTGAGCTATACTTTTTAAAATAAGTTAGGTAATTGTATATTAGTGAAAAAAATCAATAAAATATGTTTTATTACTTCTTGAAGATTTCCTAGTTAA